TTTTCAGCCATTTTGGGCCCGATTTTAGCCTGCTTTGACCCCATTTTTGGCCTATTTGGCCCGATTTTAGCCTGCTTTGACCCCATTTTTGGCCTATTTGGGGCCTGATTTTCAGCCATTTTCGGCCTTATTTTCAGCCTGGTTTTGGCCTATATTGGGCCCCCTTTTTGCTCCCTTTGGGCCCATTTCTGCCCTGTTTTGTGCCCAATTTTCAGCCCGTTTTTGGGGGTGTTTTCAGCCCGATTTTCAGCCTTTTTTGGCCCAATTTCACCCTGTTTTGAGCCCGTTTTGGGCCTCTTTTTTGGCAGGCAGAGTGTGGCAGGAGGCCATGGAGGGTGAAAACAAGATGCAGGGGAGCCACACGTGGCCCGTTTTAGCCACCATAATCACCGCAGGCTGGTCCTTTGATATTTAAGCACCCTGCAGTCCGGGTCCAGCCCGTGGGCCTTGAGTTTTGACACCCCAGTTGTCAAGTAAGGTGGCAGCTTGGGCGACGGGGAAAAGTTGGGCATCGCCGCTTTCAATACCAAGTCAAAAACACTGAGGACTGGCACCTTGCCTTTATTATTTAAGGAAATGGCTTTCTGGCTGGACTCGAAGCCCCTTTCTCGACTAATAAAGACAAGGCGCCAGTCCTCATGGTTTTGTCTAGTCCGGAGACCATTTTCAATCGTGCATTTCTGTTTCCATCAATTGGTTCTATTTTTCTGCAGCTTTCTTCCAGGCGAAAGGAAACGCTGAAGAGAAATGAAAGATTCAAGATTCTAGTCCTCATGTGTGCTCCCAATGGGAGTGGGGCGGGAATGTGCAATTGGAACAGCAAAGAAAAAATAAAATAAGAAAAATGGGATTTTTATATCAGGTGGCAAAATTGAAGCAACCAGAAAGCCAAGAGCGATGCTTCTACCTCAAGGAATGATGCCAAGCTTCTAGTCCTCATTGGGTTTTTTTGGCCCAGTTTAAATGCCGAAGGGTAGCTTTTTGATAAAGAGTTTCCCTCTTCGTGGTTATGTATGGGAAAAAGTGATGTGAATGCTTCGTAATGAAGACTTCCGTTCCCATGGCTTTGCATAGAACGGCCAATTTAAATACAAAACTTCTCACAGGGAGTCTAGTCCTCATGATTCTGCACAGACAACTGATTTAACAGCCATATTTGTATACACGATAAAAAAATTCCGACACTTGCGGTTCTTGCACACACAAACAGATTTATAATGCAATGAAGACTCCCCCGTCCTGGCGATCTCTGCACAGAAATCCGCTTTAAACGCTGTGCTTGCAAATAACCAGGTTTCCAGCCCTCATGGTTCTGCATATATACTATTATATAGCATACATATACATATATTATTATAAAGCATTTATAATAAAGTTTATAGTCCTCATGGTTTTGCACAGAAAACCCAATTTATAGGTAGTAAGGATTCCAGTCCTTCTGCATCCGCACATGAAACATTTAAAAACAGCACTTACAACCAAGGTTCCAGTCCTCATGATTCTCCAACATTTAGCCCAGAATAACTTCCAACACAGTTAAAATGAGAGTTTGTGGTGGGTGAGATTAGTTTTAAATGAAAGAAGAGCAGACTCCTACCTTGTGCAGACATACTCCCTCCCAAGAGTGTGGCAACTCCTCCCCAGCACTCTGCCCATGCTCAAGAACCTGCCTTCCCTCTCCATCTTCCGCTAAAACGTAAAACTTGTTTAAGGGGGGGCGAAAACTACAACTCCCGGCGAGCATCGCGGCGCTCTCCCGGCGCCACCCGCTCAGCGGGCGCGGTGATTGGAAGGGACGGGAGTGACGTCACCAACGAGCGACAGGCAAAATCGGGGAAGCTGGAAGGAAGAAAAAAAAACTCGCTTGCACCCGGAGTCGGTGGGTTGTGAGAAAGCGGGCAGGAGTGGGGTCGACACTTGCGGGTTTATCCCTGGGGACGGTTATTTATTTATATTGGTTTTTTTTGCAATTGTTGCAAAAAATAGGAAAAGGGCGGGCGGGCATCCTTTTTTTTATTGCTGCTGCTAATAATAAAAATATAACCCTAGATAATGGCAATTAGAAGATGCACAGATATAATCATATAATAATAAAGGTATCATAACCGTCTCTGTCAGAGGCACAGATGTAATCGTAGATGTAATAATGAAAAAAAATATAATTGCAATTGCTATTGGGAAATGCAGATATAAGATATGTTATCTAATTAATCTATGATATAGGACATACGATATATATATATATATATATATATATATTATGTGATACGATATATTATTTTATACATATTGGTCCTCGCTATTAGGAGAGGACCTGGAAAAAGGATTGCAAAATATTACTGTTTGGGTAGAGTCCAATCTTCGGAGGTTGGACTCCAGTTCCCATCTGCCTGGGCAAATGGCAATAGTTAGCGGGACTTGTTAGAGGGACTTGTAGTGTGTCTGAAAAGCTGTTTTTCTTCCTCTGCCTAGTTGGGAAATCTTGCCTTTCCCGTGTATGCATATATCTATCTATCTATCTATCTATTTATCTATCTATCTATCTATCTCTAATCTTCTATCTCTACCTACCTACCTACCTACCTACCTACATCTATCTATCTATCTATCTATCTCTATCTATCTATCTATCTATCTATCTATCTATCTATCTATCTATCTAATCTATACACACATACACACATACTAATATCTACTATATTATCTACTGATATTCAAACACATTTTCTCTCTGCCTGGCAGGAACATCTTGTGTTTTCCTGGACTATTTTTAATACTCAAACTTGATTCCAGATTTTGCAAAGGGTGTGTGTGTGTGTCGATGGTATAGGGAGAGGCCAAACCCAAAACTCCTTCCTGTACTTACTTGCAAAGAAAATTCTTAAAATTTTGGCAGAGGTGTCCTGAAATATATTGGGCTAGGAATCTTTGCAAATCTCTTCCAAGTTTGCACCATATATTTTTTTCTGTTTTTCAGGATCATGACGAAACTGCTTCAGTGGCTCGGCTCTCTGGCTGTACTGGGTGGCGTCTGGGCTGCGTTGATGCTGGACCTCGTGGGGTCCTACCCTTTATCCCCAAGCTGGCACCAGGTGCTGTGGGCCCTGCCAACCTACCTGTTGGTCACCTTCGGCTGCTACTCGCTGGGAGTTGTGGGCTACCGCCTGGCTACCTTCAACGACTGCCAAGAGGCCTCGCTTGAGCTGCAGGCCCAAATCCAAGAGGCCCGAGCTGACCTCGCCCGACATGGCATGAAGTTTTGACCTGCGGCCTTTATGGGAACAGAAATTGCCCACGGACAGTAAACGATTGTTCAGTGTATGACTGAACTGTTGAGGAGGGTTTGCAGCCTGGCTGGGGAATCCGTGTCAAGAAAAAGAGCTGCTTCCTTTTTTTAAATAAAATAAATTTTTATTAAAAGTTTGAACAGTAGCAAAAGATAATCTGAAATCCGAGTGTGTGAAAAATAAGAAGACATGTAGAAAGAAAAATAGTGCAGAGAATAGGAGAGGGAAGGAAGGAAAAAAGGAAGGAAGGAAAAGAGAGAAGGATGGCAGGAAAGAAAAGGATGGCTGGAAGAAAGGGAAGGAAAGATAGAAGAAAAAGATAGCAAGGAAGGAAAAAGGGGAAGGAAGGAGGTAAGTTAGAGGTAGACAAGGAGGAAAGAAGAAAACAGTTGATAATGACAGCGAAGGATTAAAGGGGAAGGAAGAAAGGAAGTGAAAGGGGAGGAAGGGGTGAGGAAGGAAGGAAAGAAAAGGGCATTTAAGGAAATTACTTCCGATCTTTACAGCAATTATAAGCAATTTCCCCTTTGATATTATAATACATAAATCACTGCTTTCCATGTTTGTTTTATGGTTGCTAAGTCCAAAAAAAAGAATCACTCGTTTCTATTCATTTTGCAGCCAGAAAAAGCCATAAAGAATCCCCATTATTTTATAAATGCATTAATTTGATCAGATTTTTATATCCGCCCGTCTCACGGAAAGATACTCATGGGTGGGAAGGGCATACAACAACCCACAATTTTGTAAAATTGACCCAGACAACTCAGAATAAAAGTTTTTGGGGAAAAAGTTCAGGGAGGCTGGGGAAAAAAATCCAGACTGGTGATTTTCGTTGTGTGTTTTAATGTGGCGACAAAGGAGGAGTGTAGAGCTGATCCGAGAATTTTATGTTCTGCATTTCTTTCTCAATGAAATTGAATTTTCATTTCTGGAGCGTGGCGGGTGGGATGTTACGGGAAGTAGGAAATCCCATGGGGGGGTGGAAAAATGCTGGCTCTTACTATTCTAGAGGCTTAGTTTGCCACACAGGTGCCAAGGTGGCGACCAGGTTTGCATATATATGCAAAAGGGATGCACCTCCACAGAGAGACAAAACCTTATTTACATGCACTCACTAGCTGAGAAGATCAGGCTCACATCTCCTTTTTAGCTGATGTCTCAAGACCTTGTGCAAACTAGAAAAAAAGGGGTGACAGGAATTAAAATTGTCCATTTAGCACTGGCGGCGTCGCTCAAGTTCACGGGGTCTGCCCGATATTTGAACCAGACCAAAAGGAATTTTATTTTCAGGGCATAGTAGATTTGAATGGTTGCTAAATGAACCGTTTTTTTTAAGTTCAAGGACGACTTGTATTAATTTTTTTTTCCCTCCTTCGGTTACTTTCTGCCCAAACTATAATTATTCATAAATATTAATGCCTTCCTTTTAAGCTTCACGAGCTACATTTTTGCATCCAGCCCACACGTTACATTGTCGGGAGTGACAGATGAATTGTGTCCACAATCCATCATAATAATAATAATAAAAAATTTGGGCTGCTCCTTTCTACCCCCCCCCAAAAAAAAAAAAAACCTCAGGCTGTTCTAGATTTTTTGGGGTTTGTTTAACTCATACCTTCCATGTTGGCGGGGGCATAGCAAAGGCACCTGGTAATTAACCAGGCCAATAATTAGCCCTTTCCGGAGAGACCGGTGGCTTGAAGGAACAGGAGGGCGTGACTTAGTTTCCCTGGCGTTCTGGTCCAACAGGACTTGGGAACACCACATTTCGGTCGTTTTATAAAATTACACATTTTTCCTCCCTGTTTTGCAAAAAGTGCCTTTTGTGGTAGCCCGGTGGGGAAAGGCTAAACCTTATTTTGTTGCATGGAACAACAACAAAAAAAAAATCAAAAGGTTTGGAAGGTTCCCAGGAGGTCATCTACACCAACCTCGTCCTTGAAAGGAAGGGTTGAAGGCGGTGTGTGTGTGCGCGCGTGCAGCTCTTCAAACTTCTTCCCAGGAGGAATCCACTTCGAGAAACCCTAAAATTGATTTATTTTTTTTTAGAGCGCGTTACTTTCATCTCTTTGAAATGCTGGGATCCACTAGTCTCAGTCTGGAAAGGGACCTCAAAGACCATCTAGGTCAACCCCCCCACCCGCCTTCCCAGGAGGAATCCGCTACCTAGAATCTGTCAGGATGGGACCTTCTAGCGGACTAGTAGTTCCCAGAAGAGACCTTCAGAAGTCATCTAGCCCAACCCCCTTCTCAGAAAAAAAAAAATCCACTACAGGAAAAATCCCACTCTAGCCTAACCGGCCCTTCCCAGGACTCCACTACACAAAATCTGCCACGAAGGGCCCTTCAGAGGTCATGGAGTCTTGCCTTCTTCCTTCCCAGGACGAACCTTATAGAACCTTAGAATAAAACAGATCTCGGGGATCATCTAGCCTCCCTCCGGACGCCCCTAGGTAGGAATCCACTCAACTGATAGCCTTCCTTCTTTATGAAGTCCACTTATTTTTTTTTGTTAATCATCTCGAGTCTGATTTTTTGCTCCAGGAAGGTAAAAAAGCAACTCTTAAAAAGAGACCCCGTCCTCTCTTTTTCCTGTTTGTAAGGCAATCCCAAAGCTACATCCGTGGAATGTTTGCCTGGGGCTTTTCCCCTTTCTTTCCGCCCGACGTTCAACAGGTCAAGACCTCAGTGAGATCTCCCACGTAGAAGGGAGCAAGGGAGAGTGGAGAATTTAAAAAAATAAAAAGGCATTTTATCCTTTTTAATTCACTTTTTTTAAAAACTCTCGTTTTGCCTCTTTTTTTTTTTTCCTTTTGGATTTTGTATTTGAACCTTCCGAATATTTTTTTTATTTTAAAAAATGAACGAGTTGCCATGGAGGAGTGGGATAAATTTTTTTTTAAAGGCATTTTTGTCCCTTTTCAATTCACATGGTTTGTTTACTCCTGTTTTGTCTCCGATTATTTTTTCCTTTTGGATTTGAATCTTTTGAATCAAATAAAAAAAAATTGGAAAGAAGAGCTGGTTGCAAACGGGGACTGGAAGAATTTTTTTTTCCTAAGGCATTTCGTTCTTTTTAATTCACATTTTTAAAATCATCTTGTTTTCTCTTTTTTTTTTTCCTTTTCTTTTGGATTTTAATCTTTTGAATCAAATAAAAAAAAATTGGAAAGAAGAGCCAGTTGCAAACGTGGACTGGGAGAATTTTTTTTCCTAAAGCATTTCATCCTTTTTAATTCACATTTTTTAAAAAAATCATCTTGTTTTGTCTTTTTTTTTTCTTCCCCCTTTTGGATTGGAGTCGTTTGAATCAATTTTTTTTAAAAAATGGAAAGAGGAGGGGCAGACTTTTTTAAAAAAAAAATAAGAAAAGGCATTTCTGGTGGATGGATAAGGCAACGGAGGAAAGCTTGCCGCTTTGGCAGTCCGGATAAAGTCCTCGGAAGAGAGAGAAAAGACAAAATTTGGAAGTTCCATCTTCAAAATGTCGTCTTCTCTTCTTCCTCGGCCAGCTATTTGAGGGGAGGTCTTCTCTGCCTTCTCCCCCCGCCACCCCAGCAATCTTCAGGCCTGGAGTAGTTTGTAATTTTTGTCCTGCTCGGAGGGAAAACGCCAGAATAGCCAGAAACGTACAAGGCTGGTTGCGATGCCGGGCACGTTGGGAATCTGGAAGGAGGAAAGAAGAAAATGGTGGGGTCTTTGCGGAAAGGGAGGAGGGGGGTTTCCTCTGAGTGTGGGAGGTTCATTCGCAGACGTTTCGTGAGCCAACCAGGGAATGTCATCAGGGATAGAGGAAGGTGGGGTTTAGAAGAGGAGGAGGAGGGAGGAGATAAATTGGAGAAGATAGAGAAGGAGAAGACAGGAGGAAGAGGAGAAAGAAGAAGAGAGAAGAGGAGGAGGAGGAGGAGGAGAAGAAGGAGGAGGAGGAGGAGGAGGAGGAAGGAAGAAGGAGGAAGGAAGAAGAGGAGGAGGAGGAGGAGGAGGAGGAGAAGAAAAGGAGGAGGAGGAGGAGGAGGAGGAGGAAGGGAGGAGGAGGAGAAGGAGGAGGAGGAAGAGGAAGGAAGGAGGAAAGAAGAGGAGGAGGAGGAGGAGAGGAAGAAGAAGAAGAAGAAGAAGAAGAAGAAGAAGAAGAAGAAGAAGA